ACGCTGTAATATTATGAACAAGAAGTAATATATCGTCCGCAAAAATGGTCGTGAGTCATTTGTCTTTTTTGAGAAACAATTCGTCAGCACTTTTGACATGAAAGAAGTTTCATCTTCTAATAATATAAGACAAGCATTTCAATTAATATATGTGAGTCTTAGAGATGGTTAGGTCTCTTCGCAAGGGTTCTGATGAAAAAATTGTACTTCTATTGAAAATATTTTAGCTTTAATGGAAAAATGCAAGACTAGACACATTATGCCAAATACTTACTCTTGTATCCAAATATATGTATATGCTGCAAAGAATGTAGTTGTTTATGAAATCGGTCAAATAATTCCAACAAGAGGATAAAATTCTGCATCATACGAGTATAATGTCTTCTTTAATAAAGTGTACCGTCAGATTTACTGGTTACTTTATAACAAAAAAGATGTTTTTATAATATTAGATTGTATAAACAAAAAACAATAGAGCTACTACAGAATAAATGTTTTTTGTAATAGCGAAAGTGCCATTCCGATTTAAATATTCACATAGCTGAGCTCATCTCATTTTAACAAAGCCTCAACTGAACAGTTTAGGGTAACAAACATACTCAAGCAAGGCTTTTCTCAAGTTGCTTCGTACGTGAGAGAAATGATGAACACGATGCATACATTTGTGAACACTTAAACAATGGCGAAGGAACTTAGGTAACGTTTAACCTAACATATTATAGCGTGTGTGCGTTTAAGTACTTAGGTAATTACGAATAATGAAAGGATTAATTGTATTACGTTAAATGAAATTTGTCTTATGCTTATTAATACTCCAACCTCCGGCTTTCATATTTTCTATTATCTACTAAACTGAAGCATACAATTTTTCTGTTTTAAAATGCAGTCAATCCAGTGGTATATCTGTCTCTTATTACTTATTTATCACAAAAGGTTTATATAAAGATGTTAAGGCACTAATTGCATTCAATTTTTCATATAGGCGTATTACTTAATAGAAATATATATGTATATTATATATTTTAAGTATGGAGAAGTGACAAATTTGTTTCCATTTGATATTTTTTAGTTGTTACTTAATTCATGTTAATAACCACAAAATTATTCCTTAGTTGAAGACGATATTCTTATTCTATATAAATTTTGCTAATGATTGACTCATTCGTATCGATCAAAGAAGATGTGCCCTTCAAACTGTTTACCTTCCCTTTTAAATATAATATATTATTAATATAAGTGAAAGTAAGCGCCTGAAGGCTTGTTTAAAGCAAAAAGCTTCTCGAGTGAGCAAACTTCTGACTTAAAACTTGTTTATAACTAAACATGCATAATCAAAGGCACTCAAGAAGAGGCCTTGACTGAAACATCAGTTTTAAGGATTTTAAGGGTCGATAAGAAATGTTTTTCTTCAATAATACAACCCAACGAAGCTATTTTTCATATACTTTTTAATTTAATTGTTATTTTATAATGTTCAAATATAAGACTAAACTTTAACTGGTAATAGATTTATGTAAAAGTTATCTAAGTTTTCTAGTTCAATCTTCACAGTTTGAAGTTTTCGAATTGAAAGTATGAATCATTCATGGTCCTGTTTTATCTGCTATAAAACTTATCTTTAAATGTTAAACAAGGTTTCAGGGAAAACGTCTTTCGTGATGTTGGTATAGCAAATTTGTTAAGATTTATTTTGCATCTTAATTCAAGTGAGGAATTGTAGGAAAACTTATTTAATATTTCGTAAAACTTGCTAATTTTAATGGGATTTTATTACGTATATAATATTAAATGTATTGTCCAGTTGATCGCAATGAATGAAGTTAATTAACACAAACTAATTGCAATAACTTTCATAGTAATAACTTTACACATGTGATTAATATTTTAATAAGAAATAAAGGTAACATAACTGATAACTGATTTTATCATTAGGTGGGAATATTAAAAAATAATGTTTGAAAACCAAACTCCGTATATATGTACTAACAGAGTAACAAAAAATCGTATAAGAAAAAAAAATACCTTTAAAATATATCTTAAAACAAGAACACGTGAAATAATCAATCACAAGCCTAATTAATTTTACATAATTAAAAGTAACAATGCACTGAAATATATAATATGAGTTTATTTATTACAAAAGTTATTTTCTGTTCCAAGTTACTTATAATACGAAGTCCTACACGGAGAACTGGGATCTCTCAGTGTAAGTAAGGAGAGGATACGATAAGTTTAATCTCTCGTGATCCAAAGTTACACTTCATAACTTGAATTGTGTGTAACATAGAATTCAGTTTCAATGCTTTTACTTAGTGTTTTTAAACTATAAAGCAAAGATAGGTGTGTTATAAATTTCACATCGATGTGTGAGTGTGTTTGTGTGTGTGTGTGTGTGTGTTTTGTTAAATAATAATTAATGAATATTGAGTTTTTTAAATCTTCAGTAATGCTACTAAATATTTTATAGAACAGTTTTTTTTTTTGTGATTGATAATAATGATTTTTTTATGTCATTGCAAACATACATGTATTTCAGAGATATCTTGGTCTTAACGATGTCAAGCTTGATAGATTACTATCATTAAAGACTGAAAAAAGAATTCATCTGAAACTAAGATTAAACTTAATATATGTATGAGAACTTCACTTTCATATATGGAGACGAAAAATAGTATTTAATTTGAAAGTTCGTTAATACGTTTAGTATCAAATAATATTTTGATATAATCGAATTTACACGTTTGAAAAAGTTGTTAAGAATTATGTTAAATAATTATAGAGATTCTTATTATTATCACTGTTTTGTAGCACTAACACGGGCATAGGTGATTAAATTCAATTTGAGATGACGACTTTACTTTCAAATATTTTGTATTTTTGACTGAAAGTGCTTCGAAATAGACAATTATTAGATTAAATTAAATAGCTATTAGAACGTTACATACTTCTATATATGTAGTATTCTATACTAGTATAATTTGATCACCATATTTAGACAAAGGAAGGACTTTTACAATTCTATCATAATTTATAAGTCATACTTCTGCTTCTTCAAAATATCTAAATCATGTTTATAATGTATTGAAATGAAAAATTAAAATAAAAGTTCTTTTGCAGTAAAATCGGTGACGGCACTCTATTCCTTAACTTTATATTAAGACTATTGTACTTATGTTGAATTCAAAACTAAATAAATTTGTCAATAATGGAATATTACTTATAAATTATAATATTACATGTAAATACATTATCCACTAAAAAAATGGTTATTACAATTAAAGAGTAATTAGTTTTCACTTGAATTAATCGTCCGTCATAAACTTTTTGATTTTATTTTACAATATCAACATATTTCAGGTTTAAAACTTACAATACATTAAACTATTAAATGGGTTAAAGTGGGTCGTTAAAAGGCTCTTAAGCGTACATTAGATTTGTATCGCCTTTTACTAGCGGTATTCGATTAAGTTAAAACAATATTGCGCAACACATTTATATAGAAAAAAATAAATTCACACTTTAGTAATCGAGGTCCTTGTTTTATTAACAATAAAGTAATATAGACTTTATACAGAGTTATAATTAAGTTGTAATTGTTTTGTATTCAATCACAAAGAATATTTTCAGTACGAAATTAAAACCAGCCTGAATTTCTCTAAGTTGTATGGCTGTATTGGTTTTGTTTCTCATTATAAATTTCACGCTTGCTGTTGACGGTACAAGAAACTTTTAGTGCAATTAAAATGCAAATGGTGACGCCTAGACGACGGCACGATCTACCGCATTTTGTTATTGGCTATAGTTTTTCTATTGAAATTTAAACTGTTTAAGCTTTATTGAAGGTCGGCTTAGTGTATTAATTTTCTAAACTAGGTATTATAACAAACTATTTTATATTTTTAAAATTAAAAATTTAACGTCAAGTAAAAATATTTTATTATTTTAAATTACATTTATTCTGCCCGTGATCACGGTTGCTGAAAAGTAACCGAAACGTCGGGAGTATGTAGTTTTTAAAAATAATATTACTCTCATTAAAATGTATACTAGCGAAAGTCTTAGATCTCAAATATCAGTTGCAATTACAGGGATTTTACAGCACGAAACACGAACAAAAAAAATTTGCAATAATCACAATATTTTGTTTATTATATAAATAAAGTTCAAGATACACAGAAGATAAGTTTTCGTAATTAATAAAGAGAACAGAGTTAATTTTCAAATCTGCACTATTAGAGTAATCCTAACTAACTAACTAATATATTACATTAAAAATTAACCAAACATAACTTTTTCTGCCATAAAATCAGAAGCGTATAACGTTAAGCTAGCACTTCATGTGATACAAAGTTACCCAAGCGCTATTAAGGCGAAGTTCCCAGTTAACTTATGCATCTCTACCAAAACTTCTCGTCTAATCAACTTCTTACATTTACCCGAGATAGAGGAAAATCGTAGTGAATCACACTTTTTTCACACATATTTATTAGTCATAATGTTCTAGTTTGATGCAAAGTTACCCAAGCGCTATTAAGGCGAAGTTCCCAGTTAACTTATGCATCTCTACTAAAACTTCTCGTCTAATCAACTTCTGACATTTACCAGAGATAGAAAAAAATGGTAGTGAATCACATTTTTTATCACACATATTTATTAATCATTATGTTATAATTTGATGCAAAGTTATCCAAGCGCTATTAAGGCGAAGTTCGCAGTTAACTTATGCATATCTACCAAAACTTCTCGTCTAATCAACTTCTTACATTTACCCGAGATAGAGGAAAATGGTAGTGAATCACATTTTTTATCACACATATTTATTAATCATAATTCTATAAATTGATACAAAATTACCCAAGCGCCATTAAGGCGAAGTTCGCTTTACTTATGCATGTCTACCAAAAGTTATTGTCTAATCAACTTCTTACATTTACGCTAGATATAGGAAAATGGTAGAAGCTACAATTTTTTTATATCTAATATTAATCATATTATTACAGTCGTGAATCAGGCGGCGGTCTTCCACGTTCAGCGAGCATCGATTCAGTGGTTGAGGCTGCAATATGTGCCCGTCATTATGAACCAGCGACGCTTCAACTGCCGAGGGCAGACAGAGCGTTAAGCCTTGTATCGCCAGCTGTGGGCAGACGAGCTAAATCACAGAGAGGTCAGACAGGTCAGTACAAATAATATACTGTTTGTATCAAATTACAAAACGATTCAAAGACAGTGAAAACATAACTAAATTACGCAAATTAATTTTAGATATACGCTTTTTCTTTAAGTATGAATGCCTGCCAACTAATGGTTATTAGCTAGTTTTAATATTTTCCTACTGATCTTATAAAGGAAAGACCTCTTTTTTCTGCTAGATATTTATTTAAATTATAATAAAGGACAAATCAATAAGTACGCAACAAGACGCCAAAGTTAATTATATGAATATACATCAGTGGGTATCTTCTACAAAATAAAATGTATTGAAAACAGTCAGCGTATATAAAATTTAAATATATCATATATAGATCGAAATAATAGTTAATTCTTAAGCTATAGAAACTCTCTTTGATCCTCAGACCATAGATCTTTTGTTCCACACCATTTGTTTTAAGTCTTCAATCCTTTGACAATTAATTGAAGACGCCGCGCCGTTGTTATCTTAAGCGGAAAATGTAAAACAATAAAGAAATCTAAGTAATCTAACTACAGTAATATACCAAGCTTGTAGTTAATTGAGTCTTTAGTCAGGTACAATAAGTGAATTGAATATACAGAGTCTTCTTCTACCTGGCAATTTCCTAGCTTTAGCCAGGGTCTGCCTTGCATGTTGTGAATAGTTTTGGCTAATTGTTTTTACGACCGGCCGCCTACCTGACATCAACCCTCTTTGGGAATAAAGTATATATGTATAACATATATTATAATTTGGAAAGACGAGAAGACGGCATTTCATGGATTCACCGTGCGGGTTCCGGGTATTGCGACAATAAGCAACGGATATTTACGAATTTTGTTACTATAAATTTCAGTACTAAAATTGTAACAATACGATTTTGTAACATAGTAAGTTCAATAACCATTGTGATATGTTAAATAGACTGTATATGATCTCTATATTAATACAAACTTGCAGATGAAGTTTCAAATTCAAATCTATACACAAATAGGATTGAAATGATAGGAGCATCTACACAAAATTTTGAATAAAGTCATGTTAAAAATAAATACAAAGTATATATTTGCCTAAATTTATTTCACTATACAACAATTTAAGTATTTTTAAGTGAATATTAAAATTATGTTACCTTAGTCCTGATTTCGAATCATTTCGTTAGCAAGATTAAAAGAATTCAAATATATATATACCAGTCACCCTGTATATATATATATATATATATATATATATATATATATATATATATATATGACATACTTTTTATTAAAAACTGTAAAGTAACCGAAACGTCGGGAGTATGTAGTTTATAATCAAAAATAAAAAACGCGTAGTAAATACGAAAAATATTAGTTTCATTAAAATGAATATTCGCGAAGATCTTATATCTCATTATAGAACATTTAAATTGAACTCATTTCCTAAGGAAATGTATTTTAGAATAAACGTTAAAGGTGAATTATTTCTAAAAGGTTTTCTTTTAGGATCTCGAAAGTCGATTTCCGCGATATTTCTGTAAAGAGACAGAATCCTGTCAAGTTGAAGACCGAATGTGGAAATGCACTCGCGATGACGCTGTTTGATATAACAGTTTCTCTTAGGAAAATATACTATGAATAAAACACTATTAAAACTGAAAAATCAAGCAAAAGTTGCAGCTATCGAATACTTACAACAAATTATTTACTTAAAAGTTTTTATGTAAAGAATATGGATATGTACTATTAAGCCTGGTATAATCTTCATTAACTATTCGTAAATCCTTTAAGAGGAAATAACTATTGTATGGAATAAATTTTTTATACTAATCCAATCGTACAGTCAATATAATCACAGACCATATATATACGTCAATATACATGTGTATGTGTGTGTTTGTCTATATCTACAAATATAAATGTGTGTGTGTGTGACCCCAGCTCCATTCATTCTTATTACTGCCAAGAAAATGAACTTAGTTCATAATATATATGTTCACCGCTGATGAATGGTACACAACATTGTGAATTGTTGGACAGAAAAGTATCATTTGTCATGGACATTAGCACGTATGAACTTATTATTATTATTAGTTTATGTTCCCAACATCTGCTAGGATTATACCATTAAGTGGCTATTAAAATTTTTAATTTCATATATAATTAGTGATATAATATTATTATGACAAATTTTAACCAATAGCTTATAGCTTTAAACATTCTAAGTTTCTTTTCACAATTTTTAGACTTATAGATCACGAGTTTTAATATCGCAAAGAATTTTAATTAAACGCTTTAGTAAAAATTTGTAACTTTAATATAGGAACTTTTTATTTCTAAATAGGAAATTAATATGATATTTTTAAAAAACTTTCAATTAACTATAAAATTTGATTCGATCCATATAAAATATTTTACATAATTTATAAATACGGTCAAATTAATAGATGCTTTATGAAGACATTCAGTAATAGACATAGTGTTAAAAAATATTCATTACATATTTTCATTATCTGTTTTCTTTAGTAACTGTAATGCCCTCTCTGGACGAGCAATGAAATCGATCAGACAAACCCTGAAGGTGATGGAGAAATTAAGACTTTATCTACCATGCTCTTCAATGATATCTAAGGAATATGGTGAAACCAAACTTTCTTCATCCTGAACTTAAAATTCTGACGTAACAAATAAAGTTACCCTACACATCTTGTCCTAAAAAGCAGCTTTGACATAAAAGTAGGATAATTAATTTAGCCTTATAACAAATAAGGATTTAAAGATATGCAGGTTAAGTTATATAGTGTTCGAGGTACAGTTTCAGACTTAATTTATAATATTCAGTAATGTCCCATTAAATTGCTGATACCAGTATGTATAATTTTCAAATACAAGTTGACACTTACATGTTGCCATTACTAAATACAATGGTTCAGTGTTATAATAAATTATAATCAATCATAAAAATAATTCTAATGATTATAGTATATTATGATTTCGCTACTTATAACAATAATAATAGGCCGAATAAATTACATGCTAAATACAAATTATAAGTATTATTTGCTTAAATATTTGGATTTAAATTGCTAATTTTGTGTAAAGTCAAATTTGATTCTATTTTATGCAATTGCTATTTGATATGAAGTCTTTCCTAGTTCACATCTTACCGTGTGTATGAAGTTGAGGTGCTTCATAATTAATTCCGATGTTCGTAACTAACTCTATAATATTATTGAATATAATTTAAATGGATTATTCATATCTATATATATAAAGAAATACATAACACTACTTATATATAACATATAATTTTTATTTAAAAACTAATTACAATTTCAAAATTTTAACAGATACGAGTAACAGTCATTGTATGAAATAGGGTGAGGTTTTCTGCTATTTCGATAAAAAAATTGAGTAATGACTCGTATTACTACACTTTAATACGAGTATATATAAAAATAAACAATTTTTCTCTTGTTGTAACGATAAGGAACTTTTAAACAGCCAGCGCGTTACAAACTAAAATTTAAATTGTATATTTACTGGATTTCAAAGTAAAGTAAAGCGGTGCCGTGAAATCTCATTACAGAAATGAAATTGCACGTTTTAAGTAACCACGTACAAACAATTCATAATTTAATGAATGCATATCCACGGTTTATATTTATTTTCTGATGTAAAATATATTTATTTAAAAATAAGTGAATTATATTATTAAGTGTGAAACATTCTTTCGATCGAAAATTCAAGATCTTATAAAAATAGTAATATGTTATAAAAATTAAGATCAATATATATTAAGAGGTTTTTGTGGTAAATAAATTCGCTTTAATACTTTATTGTCAGTTTTGATAACATTTTCTATATTACATGCAGATCAATACAATTTGATTCTCTAATATTGACCGAGCTAATTAGTTATATGGATTCGTTTCAGTCAACGCCGCCCGAATAAACTATTAAAACGTTTACAAAATCTAACAGACACTCAATTTACATGGTATGTTTACATGTTATAGAGAAAAAGACTTTTCAAAGAGCGTAGTTAAATTATAGCAAGGTTTCAAAAAAAATAAGCTTATTAAAGCAACTCAGAACATCTTTTAATGTTAGTTTGAAACAAAACCAACTTGATTTAAATTGTTTTAGTTATTCTTAAATAGAATTTTTCATAATAATTAAAGTGGTCATAAACATACACTCGAAAAAAAAGAATAGCAATTACTAACAATATTTAAAATATATTTAAATAATAATGGGACTGAAGTTACTACATCTGAATTTTTTCTTATAAACTTTTTATGAAATAATATCCTATTACGAAAGAAAAAGTAGGTATGTGTATATAAGATGGAAATAGAACTTTTGATAAACTGTAAAAAATCTTTTCGTATTTATTGAGGAAAATGAACAATCATATTGAGAAGTACAAACGGTTTAGTGAGGGTTTCCTTTGAAGTAACCAAGAATATTCTTTTAGTCCTTGAAGACCATACATATAACATATTTTTAAAGCTTTCATTTAAATCTCTTATAAAGACATCAACCTCTTAAAACTTATTGCAGAATATAACACTGTGAGCTATTCGCATTGTTTTTAATTCTTTTATACCACGACCTATTCAAAAATTTATTAATAAAGATTTTATCGCCATTGGATATTCTTCCTTATATTTCGAATTATTTCTTAAATCCAATACATACCATCGATATCTTAAATTACCGCAGATTAATCCTTTCTTATGTAGAATTCTGAAAAAAGCAAGATAAATAACTAAAGAAAATCTGTTACCATTTTTAACAAAATTAAATTGAAGATAAGAACAGGAGGCCGTTACAAATATTAAAACATAATCATAAATAGACAAATAAATTATAAATCTTTCCCTAATTCTAATTTAAGTTGAAACTATTACGAGCATTCCAACTCTTGACAATTCTGAAATGCAATTAAATTTAATTATTTCAATGCAATTCCTGTTTTCGCGGTGCGAGAAATGAACTTTTCCTGTTAATTTACACCAAATTATATCTCGAAA